CAACCCTGGACTTCCTTGGTGGTCTCCCCCCAATATCAGGGACGACTGTGCTCGGTTTCTGAAATCTGGCGAGATCGGCTAGCCTGGGCTATCCACCTCAGGGCTTCCCGTTAGTAGTCATCAAATGTTCACCAATAGGTTACTACCAGCCTGTTTAAATTATTACTCCCTGAGGACATTTATCTGTTTAGAAAAGCGAGAGAGAAAATAAAATAACAAAAAAAGGAAAGCTGGCTGCAAATCACTAACCCATCTATGTATGAATGTTGAGAAGTTTTTTTTATGTCCGAATGGTATATTTTTAATGAGTCTAAGTTTTAAAATGTGTACACCTGAATAAATTTTGCATTTTTATAATATTTTGAGTCAGCTTAACCCTTGTGGATCCATTGCAAATCAGCTCCATGGATATCCTGCTCCAGCAAGTGAGAGCGGCAGCTGGTGAAGAAGACTGCCTGGGCAAAACCACAGAATCATAAACGCCCTTTTGGATGAGACCACCAAGCACATCCCTGCCCTATACAATGCCTTCCAATTCCATGGCGTTCTGTTTTCCAACTGAAAAAGGTTCCCTTTTTAAATGAATTTATTCTGTAGGTTTTGAAACACTCCATTTCCCCCCGGGGAACTCTCATATTGACTTGTTCTGTAGAAGAACTCATAGCAAGACTTTTGTTTTTTGTTCTTTTGGCCCCCCCGAAGGGGATTTTTTAAAATTTTTTTTGCATTTTCTACACACCACAATTATGGGATGGGGGAAGGGATACTAATACCCCAACACTATTACTATGGGTGATGGGTAAAGGAGATCTAATGCATATATCTACTTGATAGGGGAAGGAATACTACAATTCTAATCTATTTCATCTACTGGATTTGGGGGAAGGGAGAAGTCTAATACATGTCACGATCTGAATAGTTGAAAAAAAATAATGCTTTTTAACCTAATATTACACGTTATATCAAGGTTTGGTTCAATTATGATAGTACACATTTAATAGCTTAACACAATTACTGCCTTTACTGCTATTGTCTTAGTTCTAGAGTCTTTTCTTCTTGCATTTCTTCATTTTCTGGAGTTTGGGGGCAGCCTCGACTTTCTCCGATTCAGATGATTCTGATGACGTGGAATTTTGCCTTGTTGAAACCTGTGAGTAGGATTCTTTTTCTTCTTCCTCCCCATCCGGTTTTAAATTCTTTTCTTTCTGCTTCTTTTTTGTATTGAACATTTGATCCATAAATTTTTCCGCTTTTGGAACAGAGTCAATTTTATATTTTTTGTCCTGGTAATTAAAGCTCAGCCCTTCTGGGAATAGCCATCTGTATGGTATTTCCTTTTTTTTGCAAAGTGAGAGTAAGCATCCTATAGAGATTCCTCCATTTTCTAACTTTGAAAAACTTTTTTCTTCTTCATTCTTGATTTTTAAGGATTTTTCCATTGTTGACTTTAGCGCCAGTTATCTGGTAGATCATTTCATGAATTTTAGATAGGTTTCCCCTGGGAGTTTGTTTTTCTTTATAAAGTCCGGATAAGTCCTATAAGCCACATCCATCTGTTTTATTAAATCTTCTTGTTTATAATCCATTAATGGGGCCAAGGCAACTGCCAAAAGTTCTTCTAAATCCTCATTCTTCTCTTTGGGGATCCCATGGAAACGTAGAATGTACATGGATCTCTCCAGCTGGAGCTGTATTAGTCTCATAGCAAGACTTTTGGAGCGTGCTCTAAGATACACAGTAAGTTCACAAGGCATCACCTCTGGATCTTGAAGTTCGGGCAGGCTGGTATAGGTCCTTCAGGTACTTACACTCATTTCAAAGGACACACTGAACTGAGCTCAGAAACAAATCAGCCAGTGATGCTGCTTTAGTGTTCTGGCTTTCGTATCTCAAGTTTCCAAACCATCTTCACAATCAGTCCCCCTCTGAGGATGTTTGTTGTTGTTCAGTCGCACAGTCGAGTCCGACTCTTCGCGACCCCATGGACCAGATCCCGCCAGGCCCTCCTGTCTTCCGCTGTCCTCTGAAGTTTGCTCAATTTCATGTTCGTTGCATCTATGACACTGTCTAACCATCTCATCCTTTGCCGTCCCCGTCTTCTTTGACCTTCAATCTTTCCCAGCATCAGGGTCTTCTCCAGTGAGTGCTCCCTTCTCATTTGGTGGCCAAAGTATTTGAGCTTCAGTTTCATTATCTGGCCTTCCAGGGAACAGTCAGGGTTGATTTCTTTTAGGATTGACTGATTTGATCTTCTTGCACTCCAAGGGACTCTCAAGGGCCTTCTCCAGCACCATAGTTCAAAAGAATCTATTCTTCGGCGCTCGTCCTTCCTTATAGTCCAACTCTCGCAGCCATACATGACTACTGGGAATACCATTGCTTTGACCATGCGGACTTTTGTTGGCAGGGTGATGTCTCTACTTTTTATCATGCTGTTTAGGTTCGCCATCGCTTTCCTCCCAAGGAGCAGGCGTCTTTTAATTTCATGGCTGCAGGATGTTACAGCACTCTAAAAGGGATGTCACCAAAGTATGTACAACGATGGTCAAGTTGATATCCTCCCAAAATGGCTGCAGATGTCCTTCCAGTCTAGGCTGGCCCAGGGCACTCCTGGCCACCTGTCAGCTATGCTGCCATGGGGTTGGGGAGTTCATTCTATATCTTGTTAATTGTTATTGCATTCCTATCCCTGCTGCTCTCCCTTTTGCTGAAACGCTTATCTCTACAGATGTGCAGGAGGAGGTTGTGTTGTCTGGAGGGCTCCTATGTACCGTGAGAGACTCCTGGTTCTCAGCTTTAGCCACCTAATGGTTGCCTGACTTATCCCGCGCGCGGGAGGGTCCTTAATTGGCCAATGCCATGGGAGGGTAGCATACGAATAGCCTATATCCTATTAGGCTCTAGTGGCTGTGGCCATTCCTAACAGTGCCTGTGTTACTGCATCTATAGCTTTGCAATAAAAGTATAACCATTCCTGAATGCGTGTACTTTGTTGTTAGCTGTGGGTTCTGACACCACCTCATTCTCCTGATCACCCACAGGTGAAGAGGCATCCAGAAGCACCTTCATGCCACTTTGGTGTAGTGGTTAAGTGTGCAGACTCTAATCTGGGAGAACTGGGCTTGATTCCCCCCTCCTCCACTTGCACCTGCTGGATGACCTTGGGGAAGCCATAGTTCTGGCACAGCTGTTCTTGGAAAAGAGCAGTTTCTGTCAGAGCTCTCTCAGTCCCACCTACCTCACAGGGTGTCTGTTGTGGGGAGGGGAAGGGAAAGGAGTTTGTAAGCCGCTCTGAGACACCTTTGGGTAGTGAAGGGCAGGGTATAAATCCAATCTCTTCTTCTTCCATGAAGGGGAGTGTTGCTCAATACAGAACAAGTCAGATTCCAATTCCTGCATCAGTGTGGCTCACAATCCACAGTACTTCAATTTTGCCTGGATCCATCTCATCTTTCATTGACTCCAGATAGTGAAAAGGCCCCAATATTGGCCTGAGTCAACTGGGAGGACAGTCTAAATCAGGGGTGTCGAACTCATTTGTTATGAGGGCCAGATCTGACATAAATGAGACCTTGTTGGACTGGGCCATGTGTGCCATAAAATGTAATGCCAGGTAGCAGAGATATAAACTTTATAAAGGACACAAACACAAAGGTTTTTTTTCTTTAAAATAAAAACAAGCTTAAAACATTAGCTCTGTAAGCTGCAAACTTACTTTTGATTTATTGACATTCACCACAGAAATCTCATGCTCAGAGTTCTGAGTCTAGGACCCAGGTTAAAACATGAAATGGCTGAGTGATTAAGAGAGTCTGGCAAACTGATTAAGAGAGTCTGATGCAGCAGCAGCACTGGAAGCAAGAGATAGCCAGTTCCACTGCGGGCCTGATAGAAGCCCTCCAGGGGCCTGATCCAGCCCCCGGGCCGCATGTTTGACACCCCTGGAATAGATCCCATCTAGATGCAGCCTTTCCCTGCACCTTCACATTGCACAGACTGGGATCTGGAACAGCCAGGTTTGAATCCCCCCTCTGCCATGGAAGTTTGCTGGGGGACCTCGGGTAGTCACTCTCTCTCATCCTGACCTACCTCACTGGGCTGTTGTGAGGATAAAATGGAGATCAACGTAAGGCACAAGTTTTGTTTGCAACTAAAACTCAGCTTGGTGTACTGTGAACAACTGGCAGTTGCTGGTTATGGGGAACAAACCCAGCTTTCAAAAAGCACGGAAATGCCATGGTCTGGAGAGCCCGGCAGCCAGGTGAACATGCCATTTCTGACAGAGGTGGGACATGAATAATTTACTGCCCAGCAGGCCGCTGCCAGAATACATGATGTGAAAAACAAATGGGACCACAGTGACACAGACAGAAAAGCAACAAGAAACAAACTGCGAAGAGAACTGTAACAATGATTACATGAAAAGTGTGAAAAGATTCTATACTGAAATAAATACATTCAAAACAGTCAAGATCTTCTGAACACAAAGGTTCATTCGTACGGCGGCTGCATAACTAGTCAGCATGCCAGAGTCTCGTTTGTTATCGGAATTAACCAGGCAAATCTCTCCATCAACTAAGAATGAGCGAGTAAACCTTTGTGTTCTCAAAAGACAATTGCAATCAATGAGTGACTATCATTATTACTGCATTATAGCAAATTCTTTATGATCGTAACGAAAAGGACCTTTATTCGAGTTGGACGTCATTTGTTAACTGGACAGCATTTACAATGATTTTTGACTATATTTTGTAATATGAATTGCGTATAGAAGACCCTGACTGTTTTGAATGTATTTATTTATTTCAATATAAAATCTTTACACACTTTTCATGTAATCATCGTTACAGTTCTCTTCACGGTTTGTTTCTTGTTGCTTTTCTACCAGAATACATGAGGCAGAAATGAAGTAGGGTGAAGAACCAAAGCACAGATGCATGCAGAAAAAATATATCAGACAAAAGACCTCAATACAATGTTGGAAAACCATCTGTAGAAACCAGATTAACCAGATTTTATTGGTAACACTGCAAACATCCACGATTTATAACCGAATGATATAGTAAACACTCCTGAGGCTGATTTGCTGAACCATATTGCTACAACAGTCCAAGTTAAGAAAAGCAAATCCCCCCTCAAAAACAGCACTGATTTGAACATAATAAAGACCTTTCTGGACATCAGGATGAAACTGCGCTGACCCAAACAAACCAATAGACAGATGAAAGGAATTGAGGAAAAAGGGACACAAATTTATAACTCAAAGAATAATTTCACCTATCTGTTAACAAACAAAAACACTAGTAGCAGGTTAGATAGGTATCTACTGTAACAACTATAGGTGGAAATAAGCAAGCCCCGACACAGCAGTTTTGCAGGTGTAGTACTCTGCAAAGTTCTTTAAACTCCTTGGTTATCTGGCAGACAATAGGGAGTTGACATATTCCAGGTTAGACTATTAGAATATGTCAGTTGCAGCCAAGGACTTTGGAAGAGTGTAGACTTGGTTTTTACGTCAACAAAAAGACAGAAACCAGGCACATGGCAGGGTGTGGCCAAGTTCTTTCCCACGGGTACAGATGGGGCAAATGCTTATCTTAAGTGGAAACGCCTGAGGATGATACACTTCCATCAGTCTGCATGTTGATAGTGGGAGAACTCTGGCAGCAGGTGACAAAGACATGTAGATTTGGTGTTCTACCAGTGGTCAGAAGTATCAGTGGTCTAGTTACTGAGCATAGTGTTCATGGTTTATTCTTAGTGCAATTTCCTCTCTGCCTTCATGAGAGCTTTAGAAGAGCTTCAACAGTGTAGCTACCATTCATGCTTAAATATTTGTCAGATGGGTAGCATGTTTCTGCTTCTTGGGATGGTGAGGAATAGTGTTAATGGGAAGGTCTGATATATAGCCTCAGCCCTCGCTGTAGTCAGTATGACTTACGTAGCTTGTGGCCCAATCCAGCCCAACAGATGTGGATGATGGCCCACCAAGGACTGAACCTCACATTTTGGTTGCTTGCCTTGGACTAAAGAAGGGAGGTCTTGTCAAGCACCTGGCAGCTCCACGATTCACGGCCATTTCATGAATGCAAATTTTGGACATCCAAAATGTCACTGCAGCACAGAAATTTGTTTTTAAAACTGACAGAAGTAATCAACAACATTTCAGAATATTACATTTCCTCCTATGGATGTTATTAATAACCCTGAACATTTAGTTAAAAATTACCAATAGGACAAGTTTAGTTTCTTAACAGAGTGAACATTTTGAAGCCCAACATCTCAGGCACTGACAGACACACAACGGCATAACAGTCAGCAAGGTATGTTATAAATGGCTTATGACATCCTTTATTACTATGGTTCACTATCTGTCACAGAACTCTCTTTTCCTAATAACCATTTACACAGGCCACGTGTAGATAACAAGAAGAATGGAATCGCATGATTGTTCTCTGCTTCATGGTTCGATCTGTTTAGATGAGAGGCCAACTGGTACCCCGCTGAGGTGGAAAAAGAGGCCAAGCCCACATTGGCCTGTGATCTGAACAAGCAGCACCACTGACAAGACCTAGACCCTTATACTGAGGTGACAGTGGGGAGAAAAGACCTTCTGGATGGCCAACTAGTTAGGAAATCACATGATTGTTCTCTGCTTCACAGTCTCTGTTTGGATGAGAGGCCAACTGGTATTCTGCTGAGGTGAAAAAAGAGGCTTGCCAAGGTCAAACCACCACCCAGGCCTGTGATCTGGTGGAACCATTTACAAGTTCTGGACCCATAAACTAAGGTGACAGTAGGGGAAAAACCCTTCTGGATGGAGAACCAGTGAGCAGATTCCTAGCTGAGGTAACTGGACTAACACAGGGCCTCCACTTGTTCTCAGTGCAAGCTCAGCTGCTTTAATAGCTGCCACATCAGCAAGCAATTTTTAAGAAGGGCCATCTTTGTAATTGAGCGGAAGGGCCTGGAATGCTGACTCCGCTCTTCGAATTCCCTCTCCTATTCCCAGACATCATGTTGAAACTGGAAAGTCAATACATATAAGTTCAAATAATAAACATACACCCCGCAGAACCATATAATGGCATTTACAATGTGTTCATACATAGTATTTTGAACGTCTACTCATATGCTAACTGTTATCTGATAAGCAATATCCTTTGTGATGCTGTTGTCGCTACAGTTAGCCTGTTTCTTATTTGACTGCCAGCTTTTTAAAGAGGGGAACATCCCTTAGGAAAAGGAGCGCTCAGTTTGTTTGGCCTCCCTATGAGGGACTGTTGATGTTCTCAACATTTCCATTTCAGTTTTCTTGAATGCCCTGTTTCTGCAACTGTAGTACGCTGCATAAACCAGAAAATCTGGGATCAGGCTCATCCCACAACACTCCATTCTAGAAGGCCAGTTTCTTTTCAGGAGTTTGCATTTCCATTTTGACTTGCTTCTTTGTGGTGTAATAATCTATGGATAGAACAAGCACACAGTTAGAAATTGCACATATGGCAGTATTTCCACTTGGCTGCTTTCTAAAGATCACAGAATAGGAATTGGTCTGTAATGTGGGAGCATCCCCAAACTAGCTCACAATGGGACAAAAAGATCAGATTTTGTCACAGACATCTACCCTTGGTTCTGATTATTCAGTCTTACAGTGCATTCTACTAGGTGGCAGACAATCTGTTTACTGTCTGTGTATACTACCAAAGGAGCTGCGGTGGCTCAAGTGGTTAAGATGCTGAACTGCAGGCTGTGGAAGGCCAGTCGTTCAGCAGTTCGAGACCCGGGGGCCGCATGATGGAGTGAGCTCCCATCTCTAGTTCCAGCTCCTGCCAACCTAGCAGTTTGAAAGCAAGAAATTGCAAGTAGATAAATAGGTACCACTTCGGTGGGAAGGTAACAGCGTTCCGTGCACCTTGGTGTTTAGTCATGCCGGCCACATGACCACGGAAACATCTTCAGACAGCGCTGGCTCTTCGGCTTTGAAATGGAGATGAGCACTGCAACCCTAGAGTCGGATTCGACTGGCTTTCGAGCAAGGGAACCTTTACCTTTACTTTATACTACCATACTGTAGTGTTCTTAGAGATAGTAAACAACACTGTTGGAAACAATGCTTGCTGGAAGATGCACAGTACAATCCTAAACAGAGCTTCACCCTTCTAAGCCCAGTGAAATCAATAGGCTTAGAAGGGTGTAATTCTGCTTAGGATAGCTCTTGGAAGGTCAGGAAACAGGAGGTACAAGAGACGGGATTTGGCCTGGGTTTAGTATATTCTACTGAGTCTTACTTCTTTTGTGGTGCCTGTACATAATGTAGACCATGAAACCTAGTTCTGAATTTCAGACTGTACCCGTTTGCTTGATACCACACATGTCCTAGGCCAGGGGTCCCCAGAGTGGTGCCCGCCAACACCTTACCCATCGCCTGCCAAGTGTTTTCAAAAAGCGGGTGCAGTCACTTGCCCTGCACAGCTTCTGATGGGCTGCTGGAGACCGGAGTGACTCTGTAGATTAAACAGCCACTACAAACATTGGTTTTATTCTCTCTCCTCGATCCCAGTGTATTTTTAAAACCACCTCTCTTTTCCGCTGCACTCGAACTTCCTCTGGGTGCACGAAAACTATTTTGTGGCTGTGCCCACCACCGCGCCAGAATTCTAAAGGTGCCCACAGGCTTGAAAAGTTTGGGGACCCCTGTCCTAGGCACATGGCTGGCTGTTACGTTTCTGTTTCCTTTGCTACGCAGCGATGCGCTCTCATGACCACAAACATGATGTCAAAATTGACAGTTTACCCACCGGTCAAAGATGTCTGCCTTCGCTTCTTCCTTGCCTGGCTCTTCTTCCCTCCCGTCTTCTTGGCAGGCCTGGCTTTCTCTCTCAGCTTCACTGTGAGACGAGTTTGGGCTTCCTGGGCTACTGTCCGGTTCACAGGCTGCAGTGGTTTACGAGCCCCCCCGACTATACAAGTGTGGTAAAAGGCTGGGACCTCCTGTTCCTGCAGCTCTTCCCACTGCAGCAGGCCTTCCGCAGGCACCTCTTGCAAGAAGTCGAAGTTCCACTTTTGCTTGGCCCTCTCCATGCTTGCAGATAGCATGCACTGGAAGTCCTGCTGCAACTGACTGGGGTCCACGGGACCAAAGAGAGTCCTCCGTGCACACTTTATGTCCGTGGATCTGGGCTCCATCCTCTCTCCTTTTTGCCTATCGGTTACAAGTGCAGAAAGCAGTAATTCCCTGACAAGAACAGAAATACACTCAGGCATCCTTTTCAGTTCCACACATTAGAAACATAACCATATAAAGTGGGGTCTGGCGGGGGCACAGTCCCACTTCATATTGCTAACCCCTCCCTTGCATTTTGCAGCTTTCCTTTTCCATTAAAAGAAAACTCCTTTCCCTTATAAAGAAAACTGCACAAACAATATTAGACCTAGTGAATAGAGATGTAAAATCTCCAGATAGTTTGAAGCCTTTTTAAAAGCCATAAATCTGGAGGTAACAGGAATTTATGCAGTACTGAGTTTCTTATCAAAGCATAACTTGTTTTAACTGCACAAAATGCATGATTTATAACAGCAAAAAAATTATACTATTTGACATATTTATGGAGTTTAGAAGTATAAATGCCTTAGTTTTTTGCAAGGGAAATGGTGAACAGACCTGGTACTTGAAAGGGAGCTATGAACTGCTATACCTTATGCGACTTTAGCACATGTAACTTAATTTTTGCGGAATGCCAGGAAAAATAAACAATGACAACAGAAAGCTCAGATTTTGTAGAAAACAAAAAAATGTGTATGATTTGGATATGGAGTTGAGCTTTGTAACACTGAATCCTTCAACAGTGTATTATGATGATACATACTCCAGTATATTTTGGGCAAAATTACAATAGTTGCATTAAAACAATTAATTTATTTTTGAAATCTGTTGTACGTATCTACAGTGTATGTACAAATGACCATTAAGTACCCTCACATGGTTTCAAAGTGACAGAACAAAATTTGAGTCCAGGGGCACCTTTAAGACCAAGAAAGTTTTATTCAATGTACAACCTTTTGTGTGCATGCACACTTCTTCAGATACAATGAAATGGAAGTTACCAGTCCATACATATAGGCAGGTGAGCAGTAAATTAGCTCACCCTCTATCTACTGCTCACCCTCTACCTATATGTATGGACTGGTAATTTCCATTTCATTGTATCTGTAGAAGTGTGCATGCACACAAAAGGTTGTACCCTGAATTCAACTTTGTCGGTCTTAAAGGTGCCACTGGAGTCGAACTTTGTTCTGCTGCTTCAGACCAACAAGGCTACCCCACCTGAATCATTTCAAAGTATCATTCAAAAGGTGTAATGTAAAGATTTTTATGCAAGACAAATTAGAGCACTAGATTGCCTTGCATCAAAATATCCACCTTACACATTTTAAGTGGCAGACACCTTGTCTGAAAAACCTTTCACTCATTCCAAAAGACAGAAGATCCCATAGGCGTTGCTTTTTCAGAGCAAACATAAGCGTTTTTATGTTGGGAAAACTGGGATAAAGGTCTTTGGAACATTTTGGGGGGAGGGAACACCATATAAAATTCTTATTACATATCTGTGAAGTCAACTGTGTGGGGGGGTGAGAACTAAGTTTTTACAAAGCTTTCCTGCCTGGCGTATTGGCAGTCACTAGGTTGCCAGCCTCCAGGTGGGGCCTGGTGATTTCCCAGTATTATTCCGGATGACAGAGTTCAGTTCCTTGCCTGGCTCTTCTTCCCTCCCGTCTTCTTGGCAGGCCTGGCTGCTCTGGGCAGAGGACTCTATGGCACCATATCGGGCTGAGGTCCTTCCCCTCTAGGGCTGCCAGCTCTGGTTTGGGAAATACCTGGAGATTTTGGGGACTGAGCCTGAAGAAGGTGGGGTTTAGGAAGGAGGGGGGGACTTCAGTGTGGTATAATGCCATAGAGTCCACCTTCCAAAGCTGCCATTTTCTTGACAAACGGTTACCTGGAGATCAGTTGTAATCCCAGGGGATCTCCAGCCACCACCTGGAGGTTGGCAACCACAACCCCCTTCTCTAACCCCACCCTTCTCAGGCTCCAGCCCCAAATCTAGTTATTTTCCAACCCAGAGCTGGCAACCCTAACCCCCAAACCGGGCATTTTATTTTCATACTTTGCTAAAATTGTATCTTGGCTCGAGCGCGTTTCTAGTGAAACCACTCGGTTGGCATAAGCCTGGACAAGCCCCACATCGCATGGTGCCCATTAGGCATGGCCCTGGCCTGGGAGGAAGCACCAGTGAGAGGCACTCCTCTGTGGACAGATTGTTTCAACTTTTTATTCCTGCATCCACACTGCCTCTGAAGGGCAGGCAGAAATCCAACAGGTTTTAACTGTCCCAGGAACGGGAAAGCCGCCACAGCTGAACCCACGCCTGGAAGTAAAATGCCCCCAGACGCAGCAACAGGGTCGCTGGACAGGGCCCAAACAAAGGGACCTTTCCCATCTCAGGCAGCAGGCTGACTCCGGATTCTCTCCCTTCATTGCGAGCAAAGGGCCAGGCGCAGCCTCGATTTCCTAAAGCAGCCCGCCCGCCCGCCGGGAAGCCCCCGCCTTTCAACTGCTTGCTTTCCGGCTCCCGCGAAATCCCTGCCCCGCGCGGGCTGCAGAGAGCCGGCCGAAGCCGCCGCGCCCCACCCGCCCCGCGCAAACAGGGCCGGACCCCGCGCTGCTGCCTCTGGCGCCGGGCGAGAGCGGGCAATTCGAACGGCTCGCTCGGCTCCTCCTTCTCGCTATAGGCAGGAAGGGCCAGAAGCAAATCCTCCCAAGGCCGCAGGGGCGCCCAGCTTCCCTCCCGCCCCCTCCCTCCTGACGGTTTTCTCCCTTCCAGCTTGGCTCCCCAACGCAAAGCAGGCCGAGACGGAGCCCACGACGAAAACCTCGCGTCTTCTTGCCCAGCGCCAGCCGTCGCCTGCTTACCAAGGAGTAAACCCCCAGCCAGTTTGCCGCCAATGGTCGCTTTTATTTTGTTGCCTCATTTCTCTTTCAAATCGCTGTTAAGAAGGTAAATCACTGTGCATTTCTTTCTTAAGAAGGTAAATCACTGTGCATTTCTTTCTCCAGCATGTTTACTCAAAAGGAAGCCCCCAGGAATTCAGTGAGGCTTCCTCCCAAGGAAGCCTACACAAAACTGCAGCCTAACCATTTCTGCTGGAGAAGCATGGATTTCTGGACAAGCATCAATTTCTGTCCATGAAGAGAATACCCACTTAGAATCTCTCCTTCTTTGTTCTAAGGAGTCTCAATACCTTGCAAGGGGGAAAAAAAAAACCCCATAAGAGTTGCAAAAAGTGCCCTCCTGTTTCTAAAGGAACAGACCAGGTCTTTTCTTCTTCCCATGTCAACACTGAGGTCCTCCTGGTCATGCCCCGGCATGTGGCAGTATTGGAAAGAGAGCCATGGGGTTTGTCAGCCCCGCCCCCAGGATTCACCGGGCCAGAACCTTCTCCCTGTTTTCTGGCCTTCCTGGGGCATCAGTGATCCCTGGGCCCTACAGGTCCTTAGTTATTAAGGCACCACTGGAATTCTGTTTCCTTTTGCTACAAGAGACTAACACAGTTAACTCTCTCAACACCACAAAATCAAGCCTGTCTCCATGCTTTGGTCATCAGAAGAGAGAGAAAGAAATGTCAATTAAAAAGAGGATTACGAGTTAAAAAAAAAAACCTGATTCCTACAAAAGAATATTTGGAAAACCTGGTATCCTAAGGGGTTGCTGTAGCAAACTCTTCTAGTTATTCAAACATTAGCATTATGATTTCACCAAGGGTCTCTGAAAGGCACAGAGAAGTCCAGCTCTGTTTTATGAACATAACGACCACCGCCCGGTATCCCACCAGATATGGCAGAACAGGAAAATAATTACTCCTAAAAACTCCCCCCCCTCCAGCACCGTACAAGCTTGGAGCAGTTTGAGCAGGCTAACTTTCCTCAATAGTTTCTGTAACTGACTCTCAGCTGCCTTCAACACTCTGTGCTCCTAAAACTCAGCCCTCAGCAGACTGGTCCCTCTTCCCCCACTTCCCCCCCTTAAATAACGAAGTCATATTTTTCTGCATCCCTAAGTATGGTAAAAACCCAACCTTGCCTGTGGGAGGTCCTTAATCTGCATGTGGGGCCAGCCACTTTTATTTTTTTATTATTATTATTATTATTATTTATTACTCTTTCTCAAAATTCCAAAAGTGCTCGCAGGTTCCATAAAATTGGGCCTCCCTGAAATTCAACAACACTGCAAGTTTAGCAGCAGGAGATGTGACACCTTTGTTATCTATGCATGTACACTAGAATCATAGAATCACAGAGTTGGAAGAGACCTCCAGGGTCATCTAGTCCAAACCCCTGCACAAGGCAGGAAATTCACAAATACCTCCCCCTCCACACCTGTAGTGACCGCTGTTCCACGCCCAGACGATGACAAAAACCTCAGGATTGTTTCCTGACCCCAAAATGGCAATCAGCATTTCCCTGGGTGTAAAAAAAGGGGCACAAGAACTAAGCACTGAGGCAACCCTTCCCACCCTCTCCCTCAGATGGCCATCTAGCCTCTGTTTGAAAACTTCCAAAGAAGGAGAGCCTGCCACTTCCGGAGGAAGCCTGTTCCACTGGGGAACTGCTCTGTCAGGAAGTTCTTCCTAATGTTTAGCTGAAAACTCTTCCTGACTTAATTTCAACCCATTGGTTCTGGTCCAAACTTCGGGGGCAACAGAAAACAACTCCACACCATCCTCTAGATGGCAGCCCTTCAAGTACTTGAAGATGGTTATCTTTCAGTTGTCTCCTCTCCAGGCTAAACATACCCAGCTCCTTCAACCTTTCCTCATAGGACTTGGTCTCCAGACCCCTCACCATCTTTGTTGCTCCAGCTTGTCTATATCCTTCTTAAATTGTGGTGCCCAAAACTGAACACAATACTCTAGGTGAAGTCTAACCAGAGCAGAGTAAAGTGGTACCATCACATGTCATGATATGGACGCTGTATTTCTGTTGATACAGCCCAAAATTGCATTAGCCTTTTTAGCAACCGCGTCACACTGCTGACTCATGTTCAGTGTATGGTCTACTAAGACCCCCAGATCCTTTTCGCACATACTACTGCCCAGACAAGTCCCCCCATCCTATAGTTATGCATTTGATTATTCCTACCTAAATGCAGAACTTTATATTTACAGGACTTCAAAGGGCAGATGCTCATACTCTTATGATGCACTTAATGGTCCCAATCTGAGTGTGGGTTGAAAAACACGGATATAATTCTTGAGACTCAGCTAGGAATCAGAAAATCCCTGGCTCTAGTCTCTCCTCTGCTATGATCTTTCCAAGTGACCTCAGGCCCTTCCTAGCTGATCTCTGCTATACTCACAGCGCCCCCCCCCAATATAAAAATATGGGGGAAATAATACTAGCCTACTTTACAGGAGTGTTGTGCATGTTTAAAAAAGATAATGTATACAAAGTGATCTAAACATCCTATAAGCATTGTATAGGTAAAGGTTTCCCTTGCTCGAAAGCTAGTTGAATCCGACTTTAGGGGGCAGTGCTCATCTCCGTTTCCAAGCCGAAGAGCCAGTGCAAAGGTGTCTCCGTGGTCATGTGGCCAACATGACTAAATGCCGAGGTGCTCGGAATGCTGTTACCTTCCTACCGAAGCGGTACCTATTTTTCTACTTGCAATTTCTTGCTTTCAAACTGCTAAATTGGCAGGAACTTGGGCCGGAGATGGGAGTTCACTCCGTCACGCAGCACTAGGGTCTCGAACTAAGCCACCACCGCCGTATACATGCTAAATATTTTGTTAAAGGTTAAAATGCCTACTTTTAACTGTAGCCTTAGACCTCAGGTGGATAGCCGTGTTGGTCTGAAGCAACAGAACAAAGTTTGAGTCCAGCGGCACCTTTAAGACCAACAAAGTTTTATTCTGGGTATAAGCTTTCATGTGCAAGCACTGTCCATGGGGTTTTGTTGCAACGAACATGAAATTAAGCAAACTCCGGAGGATGGCGGAAGACAGGAGGGCCTTGCGTGATGTGGTCCATGGGGTCACAAAGAGTCAGACTTGACTGTGCGACTGAACAACAACAACAGTACAAGCACATGAAAGCTTATACCCAGAATTAAACCTTATTGGTCTTAAAGGTGCCACTGGGATCAGACTCTGATCTAGGCTTAGACCTGTTCTTCTCAGCCCAGCTACCTTACAAGGTTGTTGTGATGATGCAACAGGAGAAGGGATAGATTAAAAAACTCAAAAGAAAGGAGTTATGTAACTAATAAAAATGAAATAAACACACACCCCTCCCAAATGCTATTCCTTTGGTTGTCAGATCTGACAGAGCAAGGCAGGTTAATTTTACTGAACAGTTAACATCAACACTAATACGTTAAAAATGCAAATGTTGAAGCTATGGGGGGAAATGGAACTTTCAGAAGAAAAAAATGGAAGTGTATGATGCAATAGTTATTTTCTGACCAAGCCTAAACTTATTTTATTCCATCATTTATACCTTAGTTAATATACAAAATTATACTCTGACATTTATAAAATGTAGTATAAATGGAGGTGAGTGACATTTGTCGAATATCGATCATGCCCTTGACCCCTAGCCGCTTAAGTCCCCGTCTCCATAAGCCTCCTCTCCTTCAGATGCATTCATGTATTTCCAAATTTTGCAACGAGCTTTTGCACGAAAGTGTTTTCTCACAGCGAGTAATAACAGCAGCAGATGACCAGCATACGAAACATGATGCACTCAATACGGGCAGCGGTCGCTGCAATTCAGAAGCGTCTTAATATTAAAACCCGCGAGACGAACCCTTCGGACAGCAATCCAACATAGACCAAGTTTTGGAAAGAAGTCCCACTGAACCCACAGGGATTTGTGAGTAAACAGGCACAGGATGGAACTACTACAGGACAGCAGCCTACGAAGACCGATCCGGTGCGTGTTTACTAAGAAAAAGTTGGAGTCCAGCGGCACCTTTAAGACCAACAAAACTTAATTCTGGGTATAAACTTTCGTGTGCACGCACACATTTCTTCAGATACACATGAACTGTGCATGCACACGAAAGCGTATACCCAGAATTAAACTCTGTTGGTCTTAAAGGTGCCGCTGGACGGACCCCCATCTTTGTTCTGCTGCTTCAGACCTCTGTTTACTTGGAAGTCATGGTGCAGTGCGATGCAGTTATTCGGAAGGGAGAAAGCCCCTTTGAGCTTCCAGACCAGGTGCCCTGCCTAGCGCGGCTCTCGTCTCCCCCCCCCGGCTCGCGGCTGGTTGAGCAAATTGGGGAAGGGGTGTGTGTCTCACTTACATGGAAAAAAGCGGGCCACTGCCGGGACTCCTGCTCTCTCGCTCCGCTTTGACGCCCGCCCAACTCTACTGCGGAGCGCTACAGCCCGGCCGGGGAGGCTCCGCCCTCAGCCCGCCTCTCGCTTGCTCCCCTCCCCCCGCAGCCAGCGGGCTTCCCCGGCACGTGGCCGTGCATCGTGACTGCCTTCCTCCCTTCTCCCCCCCCCCCTTCCCCCCGCCACCGGAAACCTTTGGCAAGAAAATCCGGAGGGAAGAGCCGGGCAGCCCTTGAACGAGGGACATGATTCCACCAGCCGGCAGGCAGGCGGAGGAGCGCTGGAGTGTGACGCAAGGCGGAACTGGGCCAGCCTGCCCCGGTCGCTGTTAGTGATGCCAGCCTCCAGGTAGTGGCTGGAGATCCCCCGGCTATTACAACGGATATCCAGGCAACTGAGATATGTTCACCTGGAGAAAATGGCCACTTTGGAAGTTGGACTCTATGGCATTAGGCTCCAAACCCCGCCCTCTTCTGACGCTCCACCCCCACCCCCCCAATCTCCAGGTATTTCCCCACACAGACCTGGCAACCCTATATGTCAGCCTCCAGGTGGGACCTGGGGATCCCCCAGAATTATGGCTCATCTCTAGACTACAAAGAACACTTCCCCTGGAGAAAACTGATGCTTTGGAGGGTGGACTCTATGGCATTATACCCCACTGAGGTCCCTGTGCACCCCAGGTTCCATCCCCAGATCTCTAGGCGTTTCCCAACCGGGATCTGGCAACCCTCGATTGCATTTGCCTTCGGCTGTAGTAGCAAAATAGGAGAAGTTCTTAGGTCTTTCACTTCAGAGGAAGCAGCTCAGAAAATGTGATTTATTGAAAGGGGGATTTTTGCGAGTCACCGGTTGTCTGAGTGGACCCAAGATGCCTGCCTTCAACAGAAGTGGCTTTCTCAGAACTGCCTCAGTAACATTTCCATACAGGGGAGGAGACTGAGCGAGCCCTGTTGGTCTGTCAGAACCAAAAGAAACAGGAGTTCGGTGGCCTCCGAAGGGCTGACAAGATGCCCCTCTGGCAGAAGCTTCCGGGGACTATGGCCCCCTTCTTCAGATGTTGAAGATCAGTATGGTGGTAGTGGGTGCCATGGTGCCCGCCAAGTACATTTAGGGGGTGTGTGGGGCCAGGTAAGGCTTTTGCCCAGCCAATCTCTATTGGAGATTTAGTTGGGGGCATTCATCATTTACCAGGTGAGGAAAATCTTGCTTTAAACATTTCCAAGATCCAAAATTCAGCCCACTCTGGCTCTACCCCTTATGATTTCTTTACTTGTCCGTAGACAAAAAGATATGTAGCTGGGAAAACAGATGTCAGTTGCCCAAGTCTCTTGCAGGACAATAGTGCTAAATTTATTTAAATGATAATCTAACATCCCCTAGGCCACACTTCCTAGACCACCCAGCCACATTCCATGGTCATATTTTTACTGTCGCTCTCGGGGAGGTAGCCAGTCAGTTTTCATTTTGCAATTCAGTAGGAACTATATCTTTCTCTAGGAACACAGGGTTTAAAATGTGACCATTATCATTCAGTTTTGGGGGAACGGTGACCTCCATAATCTCAGAGTTCTGAACTCCAGCATGGAAATTTGAATCTGTTGATCTTATTACCTGGCCTACACGAGGAATAACATCACATGATCCAAATTAATTTCATTTTCCAAGGGAACACAATTCTGATGAAGAATTCTGGTCCTAAATTAAGAAAAAGAAGTCCCATTTACTCCCCATAAAGGCCTGGCGCCCTGACCCAACTGCAACTAGGTAAAAGAATACTCCTCTGACCTACATTTGCCATGATGCGGTGGCCTAGATTAGAGCGCTGACCTAGAGTGCTCCGTTTGAACAAAATTGAAAAAGCCCGGGGAAAAGGTGAAACACCTTGTGAGGAGAAGACTCAAGAGCAAATTCAGGCAGCCAGGCAGTTTTCTGAGACGGGGAAGCTGTTCGTATAGCCAGGCCCCCCCCAAATACACAATTTGCACACTGCTTCTGCCTGTGAAACACCGCCCAGCTTGCTTGTCATTTCCCTTTCAGATTGTGGTGGAGCTTGGGAAAGATTCCACTGTCCTCTCTTTTCCCTCAGAATTTCTTCTAGGAGTACGGCTCTGGCGCCTCGCTCTCTTACAGCCTTAGCTAGCATCAGCATCTCAAAAGGACATCACAGAGCTGGAAAAAGTATAAGGTAAAGGTAAAGGTTTCCCTTGCTCGAAAGCCAGTCGAATCCGACTCTAGGGTTGCGGTGCTCATCTCAGTTTCCAAGCCGAAGAGCCAGCGCTGTCTGAAGACGTTTCCGTGGTCATGTGGCCGGCATGACTAAACGCCAAGGTGCACGGAACGCTGTTACCTTCCCACCGAAGTGGTACCTATTTATCTACTTGCAATTTATTGCTTTCGAACTGCTAGGTTGGCAGGAGCTGGGGCCAGAGACGGGCGCTCACTCCGTCATGTATAGAAGAGAGCAAAAAGAGTTGACAAAGAGAAACTTTTCTCCCTTTCCCAAACTACTATAACTCAGGGGCATCCAACAAAGCTGATGGGCAGAAGATTCAGGATGGACGAAAGGAAACACTTCTTTACACAGATCCAGGTGGTCAGCCATGTTGGTCTGAAGCAGTAAAACAAAGTTAGAGTCCAGTGGGGCACCTTTAAGACTAACAAGGTTTTAGTCACGGTATGAGCTTTCATGTGCACGCATGAAAATGTGTGCGCACGCACAAAAGCTCATACTTTGAATGAAACTTTTTGTTGGTCTTAAAGGTGCCACTGGACTCTAAATTTGTTCTACTTCTTTACACAGAGAGTGATTAAAGTGTGGAATTTGCTGCCAGAGGATGTTGTGATGGCTACAGGAATAAACAGTTTTAAAGGGGGATTACACAGATTCATAGACGATAGGTCTATCAGCGGCTACTAAGGATGCTGGACTAGATGGACCATTGGTCTGATCCATCAGGGCTCTTCTTATGTTCTAATAACATGGGATGTCACTGCAGAGTCTGGAAAAAGGGACAGTTAAGGGACTAACTGCAGTTAAGGGACTAACACCCCCCCCCCAACCTGGGTCTTGTCAACTAGACATGTACTGAGAGTTCCACCTAATCCCCAGGCATATGAGAGCTTCAATTGGATCAGGACCGTGGCATGCACTGGGAGGGGGCTTAAGCTCCCCCACCACATGTACTCCTTTCCCAACTTGAAATGGCCCCAATTTGCCCGTGTTTTCTTATATCACCTACTCTTTGCCTTCAAGGTTGGGTATGCTGTGAACACGTGTGCTATGACTTAGAACACTGCTCCTGTGAGAAAAACACAGGTTTCATTGCTGTGTTGACAATGAAAGTCTGCTGTTGATATTCAGAAGCAAGGGATGGCATAGAAATCTGTAGCAGCTGCTCCCCCAAGATGATTGCTCTGCATTGCTTTGCTCCCTGACAATCTAGCTGTTTTTTTCACATACGTTTTATTGCTGGATTTTGCAAAAATTCATCAGGCATGCTGAGGAGGGATGGCGTTTCTAGGCTGAATTCTCAGAGGTCATTGGTAACCTTGTGTTGACCTCACAGGGTTGTTGTAAGGGTACAATGGAGGACAGGAGAACCATGTAAGGACATAAGAAAAGGCCTGCTGGATGGTCCATCTAGTCCAGTGTCCCATCTCACACACTGGTCAACCAGTTCCTCTGGAGGGCCAACAACAGGATGTAGAGGCCAAGGACTTCATGAGAACATAAGAAGAGCGCTGTTGGATCAGACCAGTGGCCCATCTAGTCCAGCATTCTGTCTCACACAGTGGACAACCAGTTCCTCTGGCCAACAACAGGGCAGAGAGGCCGAGACCTTCCCCTGATACTGCCTCCTGGCTCTGGGATTCAGAGGTGAACTGCCTCTGAATGAGGAGTTTGCTCTTGTTCCTCTGAACTCCTCAAATGTGAGAGGCAGCATTACCACGTTATTGATAGCAAGCAGTTCCCAGAAGATGGAATACTGAAATAGCACCAGCATCTGGATCTGCTGTGCCGTAGATTGACCAGGCATCTTTGACTACATAAAAACACAAAGGTCCTATCATTACAACCAAGTAGCAGTTCTTCCAGAGCTTCCTTCCCCACAAATACAGTTAAGATGATGGGACACAGGAATGCAATCACCCTGTACAACTGCAGGGCTAAGTGGTCATTTGCTGCCAGTTGACAACATAAACAGCTGACCTATGAGAATCTAGCCTTGAAACCTCCTCACACATGCACAGATGTTGGCTGTGGCCAAGGTGACTAACTGAAGTAACTTGCATGGGAGAAGTAACAAGATCAACAACCCCAGCATGTGAGGAAGTGGTCACATTGCAACCCGAGCGAGGGAAAGCGGGAGCTGCTGAAAGAAAGGTGCTGGTGGCATGTGGGAGCTGGGAAGGGGAAGGTGTGCAGCAGCAACAGACCCCAAAGGAACGCCACCCTGAGTGGGTAAAGTCCCTCACTTGCAGGCTGCCAAAGCCAATGACAAAGATCCCCAGGATATATGTATGTGACTTGCTTTTGTTTTGACTGGAAAGAAGCCTCCAGCATCAGGAGCAGAATCTGCTGATGAGAAACATACAGCATATGTGAGAAGCATACAGCATATGTGAGAAGCATTTCCACCCCTCTTTTTTGCACCAAGTGAACCCGAGGACTGCTCAGCCCCCATGCGTCTCTGGTTAACAAATACAAAACTTAGGCTCTTTCAGGGCTAAACTGGACAGCAGCTGTGATGGAATCCAGCCCATGAAAAGCACCATGCAAACAGTAAGATGAGCACAGCAGGGAGAAAACATTGGTCCCTCTCTTTGCTTTTCATGCCGGTCTTTCCAGAACAGGGACCTGCAAGATCCTCCAACTGCAATCTAAAGTGGCACAGAGCATTCTGCCACCTCACTCGCCTGACCGAAGAAACTGGGCTTTAATCCTTGAATTTGTACTGCTCCTAGCTATGAAAGCTTCCTTTTAGCAGTACCTCCGGCATCTATGTGC